CTAACACTGCGGTGACTTTAAGTCAATGGATCCTAGTCCAAATTACAGGAGGACATTGTATCTTGAAATATCTTTTGGTACCAGGTGAAGGAAACATCTTTTAATGGTATTTTTCTTTGTCCCACTAGTAAGGAGAACTATGTCATTTAACGAGACATATAGATGCACCCTGTAGCCTTGGGCAAGCTTCAACAAAATCAGTGGGGCACAGAAATATATAGCTTTATACTGCTGATCTGTCCCATATCATCACTTCCATCACCTGCTTTTCATCTTAAAAATCCTGTTCAATTACTAATCTAAGGTGTACTGAACTGGTTTTCATAGAATCACAGAATCCTTAAGGTTGGATGGGACCTCCAGGGATCATCTAGTCCAACCCCCTGCACACGCAGGGTCACCCAGAGCATGTGGCACAGGGCTGCGTCCAAGTGGCCCTTGGAGATCTCCAGAGACAGAGACTCCACAGCCTCTCTGGGCAGCCTGTTCCCGTGCTCTGGCACCCTCTTTCCTCCTGATTATCTTACCTTACAGTACACATTACTCTGAAGGGCTTAAGCATTTATACTGGGAGCAATTGTTCCTCTAGGCATGCATTGCCTTTTTATTTTTTTGAGAGTGAGTGTATGTGTGTGTATATGTGTGCAGTGTTAGGGTACATAACCATATGGGTTGACAGAGAAACATTTCTGGGAGATGACATGCTATGCTGCTACAGATGCAGAATTAAGCTCTTTGAAGGTTTCTTTACAAAAGCGAATCCAATTTCGTAAATATATTCTCACTTTCATATAAAAGTGTTTATAATAACTGACATAACTTATTTTTTCTGTCTCTACTTTCAGGAAATATTTTCAGGAATTTCTTCTGTTCTGTGGAACACAACAAATGGTGGAACATGAAAGATTTCAGCTCCATGACCCAGAGGTGAAAGATGGACAGACAGGTAACTTTTATACAAATCACCGATCCTGAGAGCACTGCCATTTCTGTCTAGAGGAGACAGAACCTAATGTGTGTACCTAATGGCTAATCTCTCTGGGAAGTATTAGATTAAAGATCAACAAACTGTAGACACTGAGTGCTTGCTCCCAGGCACCGGCTGACTCAGTGATTACTCCATGGGAAAACAGCATCAAACAGAAGGATACCATCACAAATATTATTGGATGCCAAGTGACATATAGCTAAATGCACTGTTTATGAGAACAAGGAGTCTTCCTTGCAAGTGAGAACAATGGCAAAATAAAGGATACTTGGAACTCTCTAAAGTTAAATCTCTCAAGACAAAAAGTGTGCCTCTATCCTGACACAAGCAAAGTGCTGTAGAAACTCAGAATATCATGGATTAAAAAAAAATCTCTTGGAGAGAAAAAGAAACATTTCTCTCTTCCATGCCAAAGGAAACCTGAGACTTAAAAAACTAAGGACCAAGACTGTGACAACGTGCTGCGCCTTCCTTGAAGCACAGTGCTGCAATGTAAATTACTGCCCAATTGAGGGTGCGGGTCAGAGATGTTAGATTACTCCTTTATTCCTTCCAGCTCCTCCTCTAGGAAATACCATAAATATCATAAATGGCCTCTTTTCTTCACCACTGATCTGGAAACTTGCAGTTAATTAATTTCCCGCCATTCAACATAAAGGTTTAGGACTGCATCCAAGTTTCTTTTTTTTTTTTTTTTTCAGTGAACATCTAGCAGTAAATGGGATCTTCCCCAGGCTTAGCAAACAGTCTATAACAATGACTGGCAACTCTTTCCAAGGTCACTACAGGTCACTCAGAACTGAGATTCACAACTTACCATTTGTACTTCAGAGACCTTTTCCAGACATGAGACTTCCCTCATGGCCTTTGAGTTCAATATGAGTTGAATTTAGCTGACCCTCACCTAAGTGCAGAGACTGGCACAGTCCAAAAGCAGTCAAGGTATGTGGACAGTGTGGTGTTTCTGCTATTCCAGCCCGTCTCTAGACGAGAATGTAAAAACCCCATAACCAGGAGAGCAAGCCGGCTGCATGGTGATTACAGCACAGAAGACAACTTGGATTCTGGCTCACGCTTCTTGAACTACTATTGTATCACTGGATTATAGAATAGAAACATCAGGAGTAATCTTTAGAGCAAAGGGAGCAAATGTAAATCTTTGCAGAATATATATAGAACTTCAAATTGATTTAGCATATAAGGTCCCTTCAGTAGCAAAACTCTGCAAAAGCAAAACTAGTGTAACTGCTTCTTTTTATTTTGGCATTTTGAGCTAGACAGATAGCTAGATAGATAGCTAGATAGACAGACCTAGATAGACAAAATATTTTATGGTACTAATTACAATGGAAATCTATGTGGAATGCTGACTTAATTTATGCCCCGCTGTTGCAACTGCTTTACTTATACATTTGTTTGCATGACCAAAGCCTTAGCCACGCAGTGAAATTGCTGTCAAGTGTATCAGAAGACAGGATGAAATGGCTCTGAGAGCATGGTGCAAGAAATCAGAGGGTCTGTCAAACAGTAGTGATAGCCCTAAACCTCCCCTCAGGCAATTCTGAAAATGAAAAATTGATTTATAAAACCTAGTAAAATTGTATGTTGAATAAAACAACATTGTCTGGGTCTCTTTATGTGGCCTGCCTGGGCAACCAGCCAGTAGTCTGAAATAGTTTAATATTATACCAAAAAACTTACCTGTAAAATCAATCACTGTAGATGCTGCGTGGGAAGTTCAGGGCAAGGGTGAGGCAGCCAGTTACAAAGTGTTGTTCTTGTTTTAATAGTCTAGTAAACACACAGTTCTGTTCTGTGGTTCTTTTTTTACAACAATTTATCACTGCTGAAAAGAAAACAAAGTACTTGACAGTAAGCTATGAAAATCTACTTTTCATTTCTGGAAGATAAGGGAAACTGTTCCCTCTTTTTCTCCCTACCTCCTTCTCCCCCGCCAAACCATGTCAGAGTTGTCAATCTTTTTTTAATAAAGTATTTAATAAGTTCAATGCTACTCCTGTGCAATGAGGAATAAGGGCATTTTGTTCAAGAGAAAGATAAATTACTTAAATGTGATAACCAGTGAGATCAATAGTATAGGCAAACACGATGTCTAAGTTATGCTGTCCCCTCCAAAATGGACTTCGGCCTGATCCAGTAAAGTAGTTAGGACAATTAGAGGTACAAATGCTGTAAACTGAAATCCTGACAATCCTGCTCTGCTTGTAAATTTGTTTCTTACCATGCCTCACACTTCACATACATATAAATAAAAAGTATATTGATTTTCCCTGATATACCCAATGACTATACAATGCTGCTACAGGGGCAGAAACTAGATCTTCTCTCTCCTACATCAGCATCCTAACCATGCTCTGTCTGGCCGAATCAACTTGAGTTTGGGGCTATACCATATAGATTTGGTGACAGTAGCATTCTCCTGGCAGATAGATAATATGTATTTCAATCCCCTCGAGGTTGCATGACTCCTAGTGATTAAATGGTAGCCTATGACATAATGAGGTGCTTTGCCTGTAATTATTATTAGTGCAGCTGTAAAAGGTTTCTGTTTATAAAGTCCATCTGAAACCACCCTGAGAGCAATTCATCAGACCTAGAGGTGAGACACTTTCTAAGCATCCTTCTCCCATGTTTCATTTCCTATGGGCAAGCTGTGCTGGTTCTGTCACCTCTGCAGGGCACCTTCCTTTCCCTCCATACTCTCTTGGGATGCTATGCATCAGGTCTGGGTTCTGTATGCCACTTTAAGGACCAAACACCTAATTTTTAACCCTATCTCTTACCAGCTCGTTGTTGCAGTTTTCTCCTTCTAAAGGTAGGAGTGATAACTCTCACCTAGTAAAAGTGCTGACCCTTCTGTAACTGGAGCCTAAGAGAGACTTTTGCTTTCTCAGCAACAAGAACTGGGGTAGCACAAAGTATTCTTATTATGCGGTGAAATAGCTGATTGCATCCCTCGTGCTTTTAGATGACCTAATGTTGTACACAGCCCCCGCTTCTAGCTGACCCCAAAGAAAATACTGTCCTTTTAAAGATGCAGAATCACTAAGTAAAGGGTTGCTCATCCTGTTAAAAAGTGCAAAAACAATATAAGGAAGAGTGGCCATGCATGATGTACACATCAAAAGTACTTTTTTCTGATTTATGGAAATACCTGTCTGCTGTGATGTACTCTCTTCTTGCTGATCTATGCATTTCCTGGGGCTGAAAGAGGATACTCTTGTTACCACTGTGAAAATGATTAATAAACCTTAAAGCCCCGAGAACACATTGAAAATAAGGGCAAGAGAAAAAGATGCACTGAGCTCGAAGAGAAGCATTTAGTGAAAACTATTGACAAGCCGAGGATGTATCCTTTTGACAGCTCAGCATTTTGAATGTCCACTTTGGTGCTTACGGAAAGGAGGGGATATTGCGGCGGCAGGACACAGCCTCACCCAACACATTTCAGTCCTCAGCACAAAACCTCTTCTTCACTCCTGCACTTGCACACATCCCTGTCTCCTGAGTCTAAGCAAATTACAAGGCCAAACGCAGGTGGTGTTTTGGGATGCAGAGGAATGTTTGTCAGAGACTGTCCTTAAACTTGCCAAATGTTTCCATTTGTGACCCAGTGCAGTCAGCTTTGCAAAAACCCAGTATTTTAACTCCTTCGCTTGCTCTCTGCACGGAGGAATCAGACAAGCCACTTGTGTTTTACGTGAGCGGTTTGCTGCCTCCCGCATCGCATGTTGTTTACTGCACTGGATGGAAGCCCTAGGGAGAGCTTTCTGTAACACATTCAGCAATTAAATAGGTCAAGCTGCCAGCAAAAAGAAAAAGCTGACCCACATTGAGGAAATTATTTTTTCCGCTTTCTTTTCCTTCTCCCTTAATCCCAAATCTTAAATAAGGCAGTCTTTGGGGAGGGAGCTCGGAGGGCAGCAGTTTAACCCTGCGCAGCTCCCAGCACAGGGCTGTGGTGCCGGTTGAGGTGACACCTCAGCGTGACATGGTGCATGGAGAAGGTGACACCCTTGTCAGGCCCGCACACCAGGCCGTCCTGCCCGCCGGGGACAAGCACCGCCAGTCCTACCCCCAATTTCGGGGTATCTCCACCCAAACTGAGGACTCCGGGCTCCCTGGCTTGCCCCAGCAGCCATGCAGGCACGCAGTTGCACCACTTTATTCTGTAATATTTTATTTTACGTACTTTCCAAGGCAGAGAGACCTCCTTTTGCCTCCCTCCTCAATCCCGA